TGTTCACCGTCACGAGGCTCACCTGCCGTTCACGGCCAGCACGTTCGTGAGGCTCACCTTGCGAGACTTGTCGCCGCACGTGCCGCACGAGCGGTAGAGCTTGCCGAAGTCCTGCGCGTAGAAGCCCTCGATGGAGACCGTGCCCAGGCCGTTGTGCTGGATGACCTTGTCGTCGGCCGAGCGCGCGCCACCGCCGATCACCTTGGTCACGCTGCTGGCCGAGCCGCCCTTGATGCTCAGCGCGTCCTCGCACACGTCCTCCCACCACACGTTCTGGATCGTGCAGCCGTTCTGCTCGCAGTGCACGCCCTTCATTTGGTCCTTGCCGATGATCACGTTCTTGAGCGTGGCACCGGGCTCCACCATGAACACGGCCGTCTGCCACCCGCTCTCCTTCTGGCCACCGCACTTGACGCTCGAGCGCGCGTACGTCTTCATGCCACCGTCGAATGTCTGGCCCTTCTTGACCGTGTACGGCTCCTTCAGGTAGACCGTTCCCTTGCTGGCAGGCCACGACCCGGTGGGCATGGGGGCGGCCTCGGAGCGCATGGAAGCGCCCGAGGTGACGGAAGCCACGGCGGCGACTGCGACGGTGAAGACGGAGATGACGTTGACCATGTTGAGGATGGAGTAGTTGAGTATCGAAGTTTGACGGTTGGATGCTTGGTTGCTGGTCGGTAGTTTGCAGCGAAGAGCGGAAATTGAATAATGAGGTGGAGGGAGGATGTCTTCTCGGGGTTGTTCTCAAATATCGCGACGACGGCAGCTGTTAGTAGGGTGTCGTCGAGGTGCAACCAGGAGTCGGTTGGGCTGTCAGTCACCAAGAAAGTGGTAAACGTTAATGCAATGGGGACAAATCATGTCGTCGAGATCCGTTGCCGTGAACGCCGGCTCCTGGACGCCAGATGTAGAGGTGACAACAGCAGTAGAGAGTTCGTTGGATCACTTGACGTCTACAGTCGGCTGCAGATGGACACGAACATGACCACTGTGTAACACCGTGTGTTCGAACGCCACATGTGACTAAATTGCCTGCCTCGTGTCCAGCTTATGCGGTTCGTCCATACGAGGTGGCAGCCAAACCCTCCCGTTGCAGTACATGTCGCCTTGTACGCTACAAGTAGCCAACAACCGTAGTTGATTTTTAATACCAAAGTATGCATGCAGAACTAAGACACATTTACTTGGTGCATACCCTTTTGCCGACGGTTTTGAGAAACCTTTCAAGATCGGATGCTGTCTGAAGGAAGGTCGGTCAAGGATTAGCATCGGGTGGCGACTACAGCAAAATTGCTAAGAGAACGGACAGCGAAACCATCGTTTGATCGCTGCGGCATCGTCGGCCCCCACGCACGGAGTGTGTGGACGGATGAAGCCTTGGAGGGCGATTTTGGGTCGATTACGCACTCGGACTCTGACTGCGTCACAACGTGGCTCGTGAGAGGGGCCAATTTTCACCTCGTTGTCGCCGTCAACTTGTCGGTACCGAACACAACGGAGACTTGATGACCGCCGGTTGCGCCGAAACTTCGACGCTCTAGCACCCCACAGTCGACTAAAAGACCAGCGTAGACTAATTACTCGCTGGTGATCGAGTGATTAAAACAACTTAAGATGGCAAAAACTCCGACGACGCTCGATCCGAGAAGGCCTCTTTCGTGACCCAACAGTAACAGCATCGGGTCTCACGAATTGTTTACGGTAAATCTTGGTCGATTTGTGAGCGCGAACGAAAACAACCAATTAAGACGCGAAAGAGTGCGCACAGGACAGCACAGTGTGTGGTTGCACAATTAATTGAACGAGAGTATACGTATATATATGCACATCACTGTTGGGCGCTGTAGGCAACCCGCAAAAGCACCGCTTCTAAGGCAGATTCATCGTGTTGGGTGGTCAGTGATATTTTGCAAACACCCGCTCCGTGCTTTCGGTTTCCTTCTGACAGAAGCTGCCCAGACACTAGTACCGCGTTCTCCCGCGTTATGATACAATCCGCTTCGTTTATACCGGAGGTCGGCATGTATTTACATAAACATCTATATTTGTGAAGCAAAGTTGACACCGTACAGCGTGGCTTCAAATTAATACTGAGCGTCTTAGTTGTTGTGAGCTGAAGCAATAGCAAGGGAGCATTGCGCGGATACCGGTCTTACCGTTGATCGAAAATTGATCATCCCGTGACCCCCTCACTGAGAGCGGTGACATAATATGAATAGACATGACAGTATTAGAACTCGGTATTGTCTATTAGTCATCAGCATCGTAGAAGTAGATAAAATACAAACAATAAAAAGAAAGTGAAGCACATCTAAATTTCTATTGATTTACTCATGGACAAAACCATTAACGCCGATTCCACTACATACAAATGGCGAGCAATGCTGGCGGACTACCAATCGAGATGCGAGTTCTCGAGCATTGGGTATTGCAGACCTGCTAGCTTATGCGTAGGAGATGGTGCTGGTGGAGTACTGGCAGAGCGACCCCGACGGACCGGCGCCCAACTTCTTGGGCTCGCCCCCTGCGACCACTGGCACACGTCCACCTTCTTGCCTTGATCTTGATGTTCTGGAGCGTGGCCTGGTCGCCCCAGTTCTTGTTCACCGTCACGAGGCTCACCTTGCCGCTCACGGCCAGCACGTTCGTGAGGCTCACCTTGCGAGACTTGTCGCCGCACGTGCCGCACGAGCGGTAG